GTATACAACCAAAAAAACAAACAATAGCCAAGCCGCATTCAACTTGGTGTATATCAAAATTCTACACCACCTATAAACACACTCAAATCAATATAATAGTTGTAATAAACAAAATTTCAATAATTGGTATGTGCCAACTATTATTTTTAAAAAAATTTGTCAAAATTTTCTTTGAAAATATAAACGCTGAACAATGTCAACATGTATGTACAACTTATATAATCAGACTTTTCTATAAATAAACATGATTTAAACCAATAATCGCATCACATCGAGTTAATAATGCTATTAACTCTAAAAACATAACCCTTGAATAATATCACCTGGTGTACCTCATTCATACAATCAAATTTAGTAATTGGTGCAAAACTTTATTCCAAAAAAAAAAAAGCATACTTGTAATCATTGACTGACTGATCATTGTAGTAGAGTCATGCCGTAAATACAACTATTTATCAACTACTACAATATCGTAATTTAAATACTTATCAAAATGTTAAACTCACTAAATGAATAGCCAGCCACATATAAAAAATATAGTGGCATTCAAGACATTCTAAAGAAAATGTATTCAAACCGGTTTCATCACTAATCATATTAAATACTGTCACCATACAACCATAAAATAGATATCCAAATTCTAAAGAAATCAAATAACTTTACTTTAAAAAATGTATTTCTTACAATTCAGAATAATTCTTATAAACCAAGCACAAAGAAAATACGAAAGAGAAACCAACTACAACATGATTACAAAATGCATTTTAAAAGTTCATGCAAACCTTGGATTCACACCAAGTGTTTATTGAATCAGATCCGCATTCACCACATATATTTCCAAGCAATAGTCTCCCCACAGAATTTTGCATGCAGAAATAATTAGTGACCAGATGCGACGCGACTCGAGAACATATCAGAAGAGAAAAGATAACCAGCAATTACTGTACATGCTCTCTCCAAGCAAACAACACAATTATGGGCATCATTGGAACAAGTTGTTCCCATTTTCTGCAGGGATTATCACAATATTAATCTTCATGCTTGTTCCTGTTATTCTCACAAGCCTAAATTCTTATAACTGATCAATTCACTTTCACAATACACTTTGAAGGCTGGCTATGCTTTGGCCTGGTTATGTCTGGGCAAAGATTAACTTTCAACGTATGATGGGTCCTTACTCAGCTATTGTCACTTCTTTCCTGTTGCATTGGTTTCGTTTAATTGCCTAGTTTAAATACAATATGTCCTTAAGTATTTAGTTATTTATGTACTTTAAGAATATTGGAACACATGCAAGGATCCGTAAAAGGACAAATATATAGATATCAAGGAAAAATGCTATTATCGGTAAATGCTTGATTATTGGAACCTCTTAGATCTGATTTGTACATTAGGGTTCTTTTAAGGTTTTTGCTATGGTCTTTACTACCATTTGTGCAGATTAAACAATTTGATAACACGTCTACGTTATAGGGAGCATCGGTGTAAGAATTGAAACCAAGGTATCAATTGAAGCCATGTCAGACAAATCATCTTCATTCTAATGGTGGTGCAATTTGTTTTTGGGGTGATTGAAGGGATGATTTTGGTAATGACATTCAAATGACTTTCTGCGTGGTGCAGCCAATTGATTTTGATGGGGTAGGCCAAGGCGTAACTCATGTTATAAGTCCAACTTAAGTTATGAGCCCAACTTGAAAAGATCTGATGGGTTTAGTTCAAAGGAGGTCCAAACCCAATCAAACTTATCAGGGTTCGGAGAGCTACATCATAAAAAGAGACAGGGTCATCCTGAGAGCCTCATCCATGCCCCCTTGAAAAAAGTCAACCACCCCGTCATCCTTTGACCTTATCTTGAGGAGAGCCCCGCAACAGCCTCATCAGTTACGAACATGACGTCACCTCCACCAAATTAGTGTTTTAGTTACTGATAAATCATTTTAATTTGTTAGAAGACAACTATAAATTGTAAGTCCAGCCAATACTTAGGGGGCATCATGTACAATCAAGCACATCTGCTATCACTCTCTCCTCTCTCTTATAGCTTGCATCTCTATTACTTTCCCTGCTTTTCCTACGCTCCTCAAAGTAATAAAATATTAGGTCATCCTAGCTCTTCATAGTGGACACAGGTCACGTTGACCAAATCACTCTACATCTTTGTCTTACTTGAGTTACACTCTCTTTACTTAATTACTACATTAATTATCAGTTACTTGACAGGTGGTGTACAAAACTAATTTGTATATCATCAGTTTGGCGCCGTCTATGAGAAAGGACAAAATTCTCACCTAATCACTTTTTTTGTTGTACCTATGGTGATCACCACCAGATCCACAAATCAGCCCGAAAGGCAATCCACCACGAGAGGAGGAGGTTATCTCTCCACCAACTAATCTTGTTCCGAATGCACAACAAATGCTGGAAATAATTCAATAGCTTGTACCTCAGAATCATCAAATCCTGCAATTGATGCTTGTTGGATAACAAAATGGAGCATGAAAGCTATTTTCATGACTACTCCAAAGGAGTCCCAAATCATTGAGACAAGAAAATCAAGAAACTACAGAATCAACTGGGTGACATCTTCAATGCCATGAAGGCACAAGGATCAAAAACTATTGAGTACCTCGTAAGGCGCACTGACACGTTTTTCATAGCTGATGTGACAAATTACCCAGTTCCTTAAAAATTCAGAATGCCACCGATGGAAGCGTTTGATGACACAAAAGATCAACTGGATCATGTCGACACCTATAAGTCTTTGATGCAGCTGCACAATATTCTTGATGAAATCATGTGAAGAGTCTTCCTAACTATCCTGAAGGGATTGGCCCGACAGTGGTTCGCCAACCTCACCCCAACCTCCATAGGCTCCTTCGCAAAACTAAGTAGATCATTTGTGATACAATTCATTGGTGGACGTCACCAGAAGCCTGCCACCCATCTACTCGGTGTAAAACATGATCGAGACGAGAGTTTAAGGAGTTACCTCACTCGTTTTAACAAGGTGGTCCTCCAAATTGGAGGAGGCCTCCGCTCATTGAGTTTCCTCTTTTTAGTAATGAAGCAACCACCAAAGAGCATGCCACAATTATTGGCAAAAGCTCACAAATATATGAATATTGAGGACATCAATAGGTCCAGGCGAGGTAAATCATCTCGCGGGTGGCCACAAGCTTGATCTATCTCTGTTCTGCTCTCAAGTAGACAACCTACATCTCCAGCTAAGCGGCTCTCTCACGGTTCGCCAAAAAGCTTGACCTCTACTCTACTCTCAAACATACAACCTATATCTTCAACTGAGCGGCTCTCTCGTGGGTTGTCAAAAGCATGACCTATCTCTACTCTGCTCTCAAGCAGACATTCTATTTCTCCATCTAAGCAGCTTTCTTGTAGGTAGCTGAAAACTTGGCTTCTGATTTGCTCTCAAACAGGCAGCCTATACCTCCAGCTTAGCGGCTCTCTTATGAGTTGCCAAAAACTCGGTCTCAAAAGGTGCAGCTCTCTCACAATCAATCCTCAAATCTCTGTTCTCATGTGGGCAGTCTCACAGTCAGCCTACCTCCAGTTTAGCGACTCTCTTACGGGTCGTCGAAAGTTCAATCTGAAGAGGTGTAGTTCTCTCACTAGCAATCCTTAAATTATGTCTTTTCTCTCACGCAAGCAGCCTGCCTCTCTCTCTTTAGGTAATCATGTTAGATATTTTGATATTGGAATAACATTGTTTTTGCCATCTCTAGGCACACTTTTGAAACTAAGGTTGTTTGCAACTTGCGGGACTACATTAGATTGAATGTCAACAACCGGGCTCATCCATTCGGTACCACCACCTCGTTGCCGTAGCATTCCCGCACTTAACACCTAGCACAAACAATACTTGCCTGTGCTTCCAACACTAAGGATCTGGCACCAACTCTTGGGTACTAGTTCCCCTATTCTTGGCACCCAGCCTGACTCGTCCGGCGTTGATAAATCCACGTCTTGCGTCACTCGCTGGCCCCATCAGTGCCGCTCGCACACCCACCTAGCCACTATTAGCATCTGTTGAAACCACATGAGGGCTCCCCTGCCTGCATTTGTTCCCAAACAGCGCTCCTCCATCGCGATCAGCAAAGTCACTAGCCAGTA